AGCCTGCTTGAGATTCTTTGTCTCCCTCTCTCTCTGCTCCTGCCCCACTAGGCACACACACTCTCTCTCTTTCTAATATAAGCAAATATTTTTTAAAATGACAAGAAATAAACCATTATGTGTAAACTAAAAATACTGTTTTTGATATTCTGTCCTGAGTCTCCTAACTTTAATTTTAAGTCTCTTGCTAAAGAAAATTTCACTTAATCTGCTTAATATGCTTCTTATATCATGAAGTATACTAGAAAATACTTCTTGGGTTGTCTAAAGTTTGAATAATTAAATTAATTAAATTACTAAATATTACATACTAAATTAAAGTCAGATAATATATAGACCTGCAGTCTTGAAAGTAAAACCTTTTTGCGTTTTCAATATACATTAGCTTTAATATATAAAATTTAACTTCAGGTAAATTATAGTGAACAAATAAGACGATGTCATTTATTTTTTCAAAACTTTGTAGGCCTGAGGGTTAAATTTGCTAAAAACCTAAATACAGTTATTCTATAAAAATGAAACAATAAAGCCAACCTATCTTAAAATCTGTATTGGTCCTTGGATTTAGTTCTGGCTATTGCTACTGAAAATTTCCAATTTGCAAAAACAGTTAGATAGTGAATAGAATTTACTGCAAAAGCAGTTAGATAGTGAATAGGATTATAGGGTAGCTCCATTTTTAACTTTTTGAGAGACCTCCATACTATTTTCCAGAGTGGCTGCACCAGTTTAACATTCTCACCAGCAGTGTAAAAGGGTTCCCCTTTCTTTGAATCCTCACCAGCACCTGTTGTTTATTTGATTATATTTTTATACTGTTTCATTTCCATTCAACAAATTACTCTGAATATCTAAGTATTAAACTTAAAGCACTTAATGGTTATTTTGAGACTGTCATCTAAGATATTTATCTCTGTTTCCTCTGAATAAGGAATAGCAGAAAGTACAAGTTTAATAACTCACAGGCTGGATACTTGGATGAAAATTGATGCCTTTGCCCTATGTTGCCAATCATAGTTTCCAGTCACCAAATGTAGAGGTTTTTTTTTTTATTTTTTTTTATTTTTTTTAATTTTTTTTTTTTTTTGACGTTTATTTATTTTTGAGACAGGGAGAGACAGAGCATGAACGGGGGAGGGTCAGAGAGAGAGAGGGAGACACAGAATCCGAAACAGGCTCCAGGCTCTGAGCTGTCAGCACAGAGCCCGATGCGGGGCTCGAACTCACAGAGTGCGAGATCGTGACCCGAGCCGAAGTCGGCCGCCCAACCGACTGAGCCACCCAGGCGCCCCTATGTAGAGGTTTTATATTAGATTTGGATTTCTTTCACTGCATTATAGTATTCTGTGTAAATTCAGTATTCTGAAGTAAATTTTATTTTTTTAAAGTAGCCTTAATTGGGATGTAATTCACATACCATACAATTAAGTCATCTCAAGTTAACTTTTGTCAATGGTGTGAAGTAAGGTTCCAACTTCATTCTTTTGCATATGGTTATCCAGTGGTTCAAGAAACATTTGCTGAAAAGACTATTCTTTATCCCTTGAATGGTCTTGTTGTCCTTGTTGAAAATAAGTTGACCTTGATATGTGGGCTTATTTCTAAATTCTCTTCTTTTTCATTGATTTAATGTCTATACTTGTGCCAGTATCACACTATATTGATTACCATTGCTTCGCATTAAGTTTTGAAATTGAGAAGTGTGAGTCTAAATACTTTGTTCTTCTTTTTCAAGATTGTTTTGATGGTCTGGGTTCCTTGCAATTCCATATGAGTTGTAGCATCAGCTTGTCACTTCTTATTATAAAGAAGTCAGCTAGGCTTCTCATGGGGATTGCATTAAATCTACACATCATTTGGGGAGTATTGCCATGTTAACAGTATTAAACTTCTGATTAATGAACATGAAGTATTTGCCTTTTATTTAAACTGTCTTTAAGGAATTAAACAGTGTTTTATACTTTTCAAGTTATAAATTTATACTTAAAAAATTATTCTTTGGTATTTTATTCTTTTGAAACTATCATGAATGGGATTCTTTAATTTCATTTTCAGATTATTCATTCCAAGTATATAGAAATAAAGTTGATTTTTATATATTGATCTTGTATCCTGCAGTGTTGCTGAACTTGTTTATCAGTTCTAGTAGTTTCGTTAGTGGATTCCCTAGGATTTTCAGTGATCAACTTCTTAGGAGATAAGGAATGGATCACATTAGAAGAGTCTTTACATCTCAGTCCTTCTTATTTTGAGCAACAGTCCAGGAATTACTGCATCAGTTGCTTCAGGGCTCTTCTCCTCACTCCCATGCTAGCCCCAGCCCCTTTTCTTACTTTTCTTTTCCATTCACAGTATCGATGATAACTGTGGGTCCTTAAGACTTGAAACCTGGTGATTGATGGGATGGGGAATTATGAATGTTTTTCCTTTGCTGTCTTGCAGTGATTTTTGCTAAATGATTATCTGTAAATGTAGTGTCAACATTTATATTTGGTCAGGTTATTGGAGTCGCAAATAGTTATTTGATTCTAAAATCCTTGGGAATAATAAAGTGCTATGTAAAGCTTTTCTGGTGATAAAAATGATTTAATATGAAAACCTATCTCTTCAGTAGTTTTTAGTTGTTATTATTATTTTAAAGTTCAGGTTTACTTTAAGGTAAGCTGAGACAGTAATCTTTCCCACACTGCTCCACCCACTCAGTCCAATTGAACACAGAAAACAGCATATAGGAAATGGAATTCTTAAGCTTTTTAGGCTGTCCTATTAAGTTACCTTAATTTAGCCTCATGGAACCTGTTGAGAATAAAATAAACTAGTAGTTATTCAAGCCTTAAAAAGTTTGACTCTACTGCCATCTAGTGGCAGTTATTTCATACATGTGGTCTTTAAACTTTCACAAAAAATGCTTGCAAAGTAGGTGTGGAACAAAAGGAAAATGTGGGTGGGTCTTTGTAGACAATTTTTTTGTACCTCCCTCCAAATTGTTGTTTCCCTAGGGGATGCTTAGCATGTATTGTCTGCTACTGGGCAAATCTCTGAATTCTGCTAGAAGATGCCAATAGGTTTATTTATTTAGACAGATCTTGGGGAATTTGATGTTTTATAGGAATACTTACTATAGGTATTCTTATCGTCTTTATAAGTTTAATTAAATTCTGTATACTTAGGATAATATTAGAATAGCATCTTCCTTGTATGGCATGTAGCTAATAAGATAGTTTAATTGGAGACCAATTGTAGACATTAAAACATGAAATAATACTCCTTCAAACTACTTCATAAACTATTATTCATATATTTAAAATTTAAAAGACTAGTTTTCTATATACTTCAAAAGTATATACTTCAAAAGAAGTATACTTCTTATTTGTCTCTGAAAACTTACAAATCTGTATATCCAAATCTCAAAAAATTAAAGATATTCTTAACCCTATTTTAAGATATAGTTCTTTTTAATTAGGCCACAGTATGTGCACACTGTATATTGGATATTTCAGCATATCTACATCATTTTAGCAAAGGATAATCTATTGAGTATTTAGTTTTGATAGTAATTATCTGTTGATATATAATTGACAGTGTAAAATAATTCTAAAATTGGAAAACAATACATTTTGGCATCAGGAATTGTTAAACAAGAGAAAGGAAGTCTTTAAAATATAACAGCTTAAAACTAATTTGAAAGTACTTGCTTTCTGACATGAGCATAACTTAGTAAGAAGTTGACTTGCTATAGGAAGAAAGCATTAAGTCCTTGTTTTCAGATAGAACCAGTAGTTATTCTTGGAAATTATAACACATATACCACTTGGTGCTTACGCCGAATCCCTAGACATAGGAAATGGTGGGGTGTTTATTCACATATCAAAATTTCAAACTGTATTTCTTCTTTAGTTCAAAATAGTAGCTTATCGACATAATATGCTGTTTGAATTAAAAAAAAAAAAAACATGGGGCGCTTGGGTGGCTCAGTTGGTTAAGTGTCTGACTTCAGTTCAGGGCATATCACAGTTCATGGGTTCGAGCCCCTCATCGGGCTCTGTGCTGACAACTCAGAGCCAGGAGCCTGCTTCGGATTCTGTTGTCTCCCGCTCTCTCTGCCCCTCCCCCACTCACACTCTATCTCTCTCTCAAAATTAAATAAACATTAAAAAATTTTTAAAAAGCATTATTTCTCAAAAGCATTTTCTAACTTTATTGTAGGAAGAGATCAAATTGGTGGAGAAGTTTGTAATAAAAAATCCCAGTGAATTAAATGAAGAAAGTTAATAATGTTTCAGTTGTAATTACTCTCTGTAAACAACCATGTCCTGTAATGGAGAACCACTCTTGCTTTATGAATTAGACCCTAATAAATAAGTACATATGAGTTTGGGATTGGAAGGTTAGGATAATAGACATTGTAGTTTCCTAAAGAGGATTTTACTCTAATTCTTTAATGAAAGATCTGTATCCAGTTCCAGGTTGTTGCTCAACTCTTCCCTCTGATTTCAGTTCTTCTTACTACTTGCTGAAATGTTGTCTATTTAATACCCACATCAGTACTGCCACTTGAGAAATTTTTCTTAATTTTATCTGGCCAAATTCTTATTCCTTCCCTTGGGTACTCCTTATCTCTAATTCGCTGGTTTGTCTTCCTCACATCTGCACATGTTTATCTCTCTGTTTGGGTTAGAAGCTCTTCTAAGATGGGAACTATGTCACTTTGGCTTTTATCCTAATGGTCTGTCCTGGATATTTCTTCAATGCATTTGAATAGTAGAATAGTTAATAGAACAACTGTCCCACTCACTGTTTACCAAAAATGAAGTAAAAATTAGTTTTTGTGGTTTGTTTCACATTCATAACTCTAGTGTCTGCTTGCCAAACAAAGGGAGTTGAAAATTTATTAGGTTGAGGAATTAGAATGAAATATAATTTCCCAATTTATTATGTTTGGTGGTCATCTTTTTTTAAAACATATTTTCATAGTTTCTTTCATTTCTCTTTGTTTGCAGCTTTTGTCATTCTTGCAGGGTTTATTTACTTTTTACCACGAGGGATACGAACTCGCCCAAGAATTTGCACCATATAAGCAACAGCTTCAGTTCAACTTGCAGAACGTAAGACTATACCTATTTTTACTGCCTCTCCTTAGTGAATCAGATGATGACAAGGAAACTAATTATAATACAGCCAAACCTTGGAGTAGGTCAAAAATTTACCTAATTTAGAAAAGCCATTTAATAAATTTATTAAAATATTTTTTTTTCTAGCTCCTGGTTAAAAGTATACCAGGAAAGAGCTAATCATATGTTAGAAAAAGTTATGCTGGCAAGTTTCATAGAAATAAATATTACTGAGATATACATAATAGATACTTGGAAGGTTGGAAACTTTTGCCTTTATTCAGTGTTCTCATTGATTTACTGAGTGACCTCTGGCAAGTCTTACTTTCTGAAAGGGTAACATTTCTATATTTGTGAAATTAAGAGGTTGTACTTAAGCACTGAAGGAATGTCCTTTTTTCTCTCTCAAATTGTATATAACAAATATGATATTTTTATTTGAATTTGAATAATAATAATTAATTTGAATATGGTTTTTAAGGACTCATAATAATTGCTTTAAAGCTTAATTGAGAATTATTTACAAACATCATATTTTTGTTAGAGTTTATTTTGTAAGTTGTCTAATCCTTTTAATGTCCAGTTTCATAGTTATATAAATTCAGATTTGCAGATGATTAACATCACTTACATTAAAAAAAATACAAAAACGTATCCAATCCATTATTGGATTATTGAACCTGACAAGAAAGTTCTAACTGTTGAGAATTTTGTATGAATGAACTTATTTCTGAAACCCTGATAATCTAGTACTCTATAGCCAAAATAGTTTGGAAAGTTTTCACTTCTTTTTCTATAAAAAGCTTGTCTTTCACTGCTTATCTGATTCTTGCCATTGTGGAGATGTTCAATAAATGGAACTATGGAGTTGGAATGTCCCATGAGAAATAGGTAATTGGATTTATTTAATTTATATTTTGGGTTTTAGCTTTTTTTTTAATCTAGATTTTCTAGCAGAATCAGTTTCACATGCAAGCCATTTCATTGTTTTTCAATATGGAACGCATTTGGACTTCTTCGTAAATACTAAAAGGGAAAATGATAAAGGCCAAAATATTTTTATTAAGATTCCTGCGATTCAAGAACAAGAGAGGAATGTAAAGTATTGGAAATTTTTCTGATTCTTATGTTTAAAAGAATTTGAAAAAAAAAGTTTAAAAAGTAGTAAAAGTGACAGGAAAATTTTCCTAACTTACTTTGGGATTCAATTATTTTATCATGGGCCATAACAAATTTTAGAGTTGGGTGGTGATAATTTTTATATTTCCAAACATATTGCTTGCTTCCAAACGTATTATTGAAATAATGTGGCCTGAATACAAAAGAGAGAGAAAAGCTTTAAGCTTTCTATGTCTTACTTTAAGTAAACTTGCTGTAATGTGAGTAAACTATTTTTTGTAATAGAAGATGTTACAACTAGGAAACCCATTCGTTTTTTGTTGTTGTTTTTTGTTTTTAATTTATTTAATTTATCTTTTTAATTTACATCCAAGACCCGGCAATTGCACTACTAGGTATTTATCCAAGGGATACAGGTGCCATTGCTGGGCGGCCCGCTTAAAGGCACACAAATGAGGCTCCGCCGAGTAGTAGAGAGGCCCTTCTGCAAGACACACATGGGATGGGCAAGGAGTATTTTCTTTTATAAAATTGTGGAATGAGCTCAGAAATTGCTTGTTCAAGTATCATCTAGCAATAGGCAAGGCAAGCATGGAATTTCTGATGTTCTGACTAGGAAACTCCATGCTTCTTCCTGTTTGGAAATGAAATCATTGTGAAATGCAATGCACTGCATGCCCAGAAGGGTAAATATAAAAAACTACACAGAGATCTAGATACAAAGTGAGGTTCTGTGTTCAAACTGCAACAGATCTTCCCACTACTACCCCCACATCCATCTCCATTTATCACCACTTACAGCTTCACATTAAGGAAGGGTTTCTACCTCGTGCATGAGTGCCCTATGCCTACCATTACAGAGAATAAAGACTCCTGAAGGCTTCACTTTATCTCATCTTCTTCTATTCCCACAGAACTTATTCATTCAGTATATACAGCACACAGTACAATCAATATGTGAACTGGTTTACTCTCTTATAAATGTTTTCTTGGCAATATACATAAAGGAAAAAGGGGCTATGGGATATTTGTCCCCTGTATAAAAATAATTCCATGGGTGCCTTTGGGTGGCTGCAGAGGTTAACTGTCTGACTTCCTTGACTTTTTTTGGCTCAGGTTATAAATTCATAGCTTCAGGAATTAGAGCCCCAAGGCCCAGCTCTGGCTGACAGTTCAGAGCTCCGTTTGGGATTGTCTCCTCTTCTCTGCCCTCCCGGCCAAGAGGCATGTACTCTCTCTTAAAATAAATTAAACAAAATAATCTCCAAAGGATATAACCAGTATCCATTTTCTTTAAAACCCCAAGCAAATGGGAAGCAGGAGGTAGAGATGAAGGAAAAAATTACCTAAAAGGAAAAGAAGTTGATAATTATATTGGAAGAGAGCACTTTGAAGGCTGTCAGAAAAGGCCCCATTGTTGTCAGTGGCCTCCCAGTTCTCCATTATGGCGCAGCATATATATATGTATGGCATATATATATATATGGCAAACTTATCAAACTATACATTTTAACATCTGCAACTACTGTAATAACTGCACCCCACAAAAAATAAAAAAAACAATGCAGGCGGATGCCATGGAGAAATCAATCGAGAGGAAAAGTTCCTCTTTAGGGAGCAGCAAAATGGGCAAACAGTTTAAAAAGGAGAGCAGCTGCCAAAGAAAGAAAGCGAGAGAGAGTTCCTGGAAAAACGTGTGCAAGTCCCCAAAGGCCGCGACAATCATCATGCATGTCTGCTCTGCTGTGGATGGTGATAACAAATACAGTGTTTCTCAGAGGGGGTGTGCTTGTAAGTGCCGCTAGAGGACAGGGGATTGAGTAGGATACATAAACCTAGCCAGGCAGAAAAGAGAACAATTAGCGGAGGCCAATGTGGGTGACCAATGAGGAGATGAGAAGGTAAAAATTCATTAAAGGTTGCCTGGGAGCAAATGCAAAAAAGAGGGGCCTCTCTCAGTTGCTATGTGGGAGATGTCGAGTTAAGGAGTTACACATTTATTTCCAGCTCCAAGCCTGGGAAGTAGTACAGGCAGTGATATCATTTAAAGAGATAGCATATTTCAGGAAAGCATCAATATCAAAAAGTGCAGCTCTTATAATCATCTAGGACTGACCCAGAGGGGAAGTCATGTATCCAAAACACAAGTTTCAACATCAGAGCTTTGGTGCGCCGCAAAAATCTTTACTGTCCCCAACAATGCATGGCCCCTGGCTACTCAAGGGCCCAAGTGCTATAGTCAAATTTGAAATGTCCAACAAATGGAGAACAAGTAAAACTACACTCCCTTGCCCAAGAGATGGAATTGGAAAGTGCAAAAACATGGATGTATTTGGAAAAATTAATGTGTACAAAATAATTTTAGCTAGGTAATCCATCTTCTTTCTTTCTTAGAACAAAATACTGTGTACCCATAAGGATTTGAAAGGAATCAAAAAAATACCACTGGGAAATAAAAAAACAAAAAAAAGAAAAGTTTTGTGCTTCAAGAAAACACACAACTCTAAATAATAAAGTAATGCAGGATGATACCATTTCACATTTATTATAATATAGATCCTGTATTTAGATATCAATTATGATTTATTTATTATTATTATTTTATTGATATAATAATATATTTTCAATTTAAATTTCATTTATATTTCAAATTAGGAAAGTGACATTCACATTAGAAGTGTGACAAAAGTTTTAGTGGTTTGATAGGTGTTGCATCTTAAGAGAGATCAAAGGCGCAGTATACAGAATATTGGGATATATGCCAAGGAATATACAGGAAGATAGCTAAGGTTATAATAAGATTAAATATGATGTAGGTATTGATTAGATAGGTATTGATATGATTTATTTTGATATTCTGGGTGTGAAAGAGCGCAATAATTTTTCAATATCAAAACATGGACGGTCGGCATGGTAGTGAGGAAAATTACCCATGCTGCTGCTGCTACCGACGCATATATGGCAGAGAACGCAACAATTCAACCCGGGCACAAAAGCAGCCTACCTGGCCGAGCCTGTCATAAGGTGTGAACCAAAATCACTTCAAGCCATTCGGGCTTCCGCGCACACCCCTCAGCCATCCCAAACGGAGCACTGGGAGCGGTATAGAAAATGTCAAAACACAAAAAAAAGCCGGGGCATTTTAGTAATCATATTGTATTATGTCAAAATCACAGCACAACCTAGAATTTCCAGCTTTCCCATCTCAAACAAACCTTTTAACTTCAAATATCTACACAATCTAACTAAAACACATCAACTTCATTAATCTATCATCTATTGATATGGAGATTTCAGAGGATGCTACTTCATGGTTTTGAGTCCTCTTCCACATATGACAATAGCAGAAAATAAAATAAGTTAAAACTTGTACAGATTTAAGATTACTGCAAAATGTCTAAGCACACATGACTTTGTGTTTTATGACAGATCCATAACAGATTGGAAATAAAGACAATCCTGTTCCTTACCACAAACAGTAGGAGATTGGAAAGTATAGAGGTGGTATATCTGGTTTGAAACATTTAATTTGTCCAATCCACTGTTCCATCTAACAATGCAAGCACCATGCAGAGAAAGAGCCCTAGTTATACAAGTTTGATGAAGTTTTTATTACTTTTGTGAGGAAAAACTTTCTTAGTGTGGGAGGCAATTATAATAATGTCCTGTTGTGTCTGATGCTTATTTCTAACCCCTCAGGAAGCAAGAGTGCCAATTATAGATATTTATATTGATTACATTCTAAAACTGATGGAGCATAATACAATTAGAAATAACGCTGTGGAAAAATAAAAAGTAATATAGTCACCAGGATGATTCATACTGATAAAGGCTTTGAATTTCAATTTTTTCATCAAAACTTTTAAAATTGAGATTAGCTATCACAATGAAATCAAACTGAACTCACTAGTGTTATCATATCCATTTGCGAAGGGAAGAAGTTCCAAGTTCACTACCAATATGCCAACTTGGAGATCCTGATGGCTTAAAATGTGAAAAAGCAAAAACTCTCACTCTTGATGGTGGTGCAGTGGAGAGCAGACTAAAATATGATAAAGTTGTAAGGAACTTGTAGTCTCCTATTTGAAGGAAAAAACACTAACTGCCAAATCTCACAGAAACAGAATGTTAATTATAAGAGACATTAAGTTAGCATCTTTTGTGATCACGCTTTCTCCAGACACAAGATAGCCTTCCATTGTCCACTGGCTGGGTGGTCTGTAATCTGGTTGGCAGATTTGCAGCTTGCATCAACCGCTTCTTGCATTTCTTGTCGCAATTTCAAAATTATTCTTTGTTTTTAAGTAAAATAGAAAAGATAACAGTTTCATTCCATTGTTTTACCAGTTTTGAGGAACTTCCAGCCTAAAGTTTCAAAACTACAAATGGTGCAAAGGATAATTTGATTCTCTCAGCACTATACACTACACGTTGGATCGTGAGCATGCTGAGTCCTATCACTGGATTCTTGAATTGGCGTTAGTGAACCTTCCTGAATAAATTTTGCATGTTTTTCGCTTTTTTTAAATCTGTGTGTGGGGCATGTACTTTATCTCCCATATCTCACTCACTCTAACAATATTCTAGGGGTTCAAATCATAACATTTAAAAAATAATGGGGAAGGGGGGGGGGGGGGGGGGGGGGGGGGGGGGGGGGGGGGGGGATTATGAAGGAAGGAGGTCCATTAATACCTAAGGTAAAAAGCAGACTTATCTTGAAATAATAATCATGAGGTCAGTGCATAAATTAACTCATAAAACTTAATTGTTTCCACTGCAGGCTGCATATACACACACACACACACACACACACACACACACACACATATCACAACTTATCTATCCATCAATGGACATTTGGCTCTTTTCCATACTTGGCTAATGCTGTTGATAGTGCTGCTATAAACATTAAAAGCATGTGTCCCTTCAAATAGCATATGCCACATAT